CAAAATGGTGTTATGCGGCATCTATGTTTTAGGTTTTTTTAGGTCACTTCCTGTTGTCAATGGTTAATATGTCATCAAATGCTTCATGAATCCATTCCTCGAAGTAATTTATGTCATTTTAGGGTGTATTACATGATACTTGCGTTTTAGGAAGAAATGGGGTCACAAGTGTTGGAAAAGGAGCAGAACAAGGAGATCACGGCTAGGAAAAAGAACATAACAAGGTTCTAGATAATCATCAAGATGCATAGTATGCTCCAAATGATCTGAATGCAAGGTCTAGATAGTATGCTTCTGTAGCATACGAGCATACTATGATACTATCAATCTACGATACAACATACACTTAGTAAGAATACACTATCTGGACCTCAAATTAAATGAACTTAATGGTCGTGATACTATACCCTAACCCTTGATGAATGAACCCTAGGTCTTAATTATCTAAATTATAGAATCTAAACCTTAAAATTGTGCATGCAATTTGTTGTATATATTTCGACGAACCATGACTGTCGATTGTTATATATAATAAATAGAATTAAACTCCAAAATTTCATCTGTAAGGGTTAAGGTATAGTACAATGTCCCAAATCCCGATCAATTCAAGGTCTAGTTATCATTTTCTTACCCAAGGTATGCCATGCATTCGAATTTACTCTAGGGTACAACATACCTTAAGTAAAAAACGCTATCTAGATATCTAATTAATCAAATTTTGGGCATGATACTATGCCTTAACCCTTTATGAGTGAACTCTAGGTCTAAGTTTTCTAAATCATAGAGTATAACCCCTAAGATTGTGCATGTAATTTGTTGCCTATTTTTTGACGAATCATAACCGTCAATTTTTGTTTCTAATTAAATTGATCTTAGTGTATGAGATTTATAGAATTAAGACCAATATTTTAATCTTTAAGGGTTTTGGAATAGTACCAGATTTCAAACTGATCAATTCAAGGTCTAGATATCGTTTTCTTACTTAGGGTATGTTGTACCCTTGATTTTCCCAAGGTACGATAGAACCACCCATATATATATATACACACACCGGTCATTACCATATATATATATATGGTGCCTTCTACGGTACCCCGGGTGAAATCCGAGGTACCGAATACCTTGAGTATGAAAATGCTATTTAGACCTTGAATTATCAGGATTTTTGGGCATGATACTATACCCTAACCCTTAATGAGTGAACCCTAGGTCCTAATTATCTAAATCATAAACTAAAAACCCTAACATGGTGCATTCATTTTTTGCCTATATTTGGACGAATCAAAATCTCCGATTATTGTTTCTAATCTAATTAAATCGATGTTGGGGTATAAGATTTGGAGAATTAAGACCTAGATTTTGATCTTTAAGGGTTAAAGTATAGTATCATGTCTGAAAGATCAGTCAATTCAAGGTATGGATACGGTACCCCGAATTTCATTGTCTAAATAGCAAAATCCAACGGGCGTACGATAGGCTAGCGTACTCCCGGACGTACCCTAGCCTTTTGCCATATATATATATAGATAGATATATATATGGTGCGTTCTACGGTACCCGGGTGAAATCCGGGGTACTGCATACCTTGAGTATGAAAACACTATCTAGACCTCGAATTAGCAGGATTTTTGGGCATGATACTATACCCTAACCCTTAATGAGTGAACCCTAGGTCCTAATTATCTAAATCATAAACTATAAACCCTAACATGGTGCATTGATTTTTTTGTCTATATTTGGACGAATCATAACGTCGATTATTGTTTCTAATTAAATTGATCTTCGGGTATAAGATTTAGAGAATTAAGACCTAGCTTTTGATCTTTAATGGTTAGGATATAGTATCATGTCCGAAAAATCAGTCAATTCAAGTTCTGGATAGAGTTTTCATACTCAAGGTATGCGATACCCCAGATTTCACCCTGGGCACCGTCGAACTCCCCATATATATTTATAAATACACCCATTGCAAACCTTAATACACCCATTGCAAACCTTGAAAGAAGATGATAGTATGCAAGGTGGCGTGAATGTGGTCTTCTCCTGATCAACTTGGTATATAGGTATACGTATGTATTTTCATAAATGCACCAAAGACAAACCCCGAAGGAAGATGAAAGTATGCAAAGTGGCACATGGGAAGGCGAATGTTGTCTTCTCCAAATCAACTAGGTGTATAGGAATTTAGATTACCCTAACATACCATCAAGAAAAGTAGTAGAATTTGTCTTTAACCAATCTTTCCAACTTTTTTCTCAATAAAAGGAAGGGGAATAATCCTGCATTCTTAGACGACCCTATTCCTTAAGATTTTATTCAAATGATATCAACTCCAAATCCATGATTAGATTTTAGGTAATATTAGTTGGATTGGAAATAAAGTAGGGTGCGAAGCCCTTTCTCTATATTTTCTAGAGCTTTTCTATTTTTCTATTTTGTTTATAAGGTGATAACAAAGATTTTAACTGAAAGGCTAGGGCGTTTCTTGCCTCAAATAATCTCCCCAGGGCAAAATGGTTTTGTGCGTGGTAGGAAAATTGTGGAGAACGTTCTGGTCAGTCATGAGGTGATGCATTATCTTTCTCATAAACGCAATGGTAAGCAGGGGTTCATGGCTCTGAAATTGGATATGGAGAAGGCTTATGACCGGGTTGAGTGGCCTTTTTTGTTCGCTCTTATGGAAAAGTTTGGGTTTCATAGTCAGTGGATACGCTGGATTCGTGCCTGTGTGACAACGCCGACTTTCTCTGTAATGATGAATGGCCGCCCTTCGGGTTTTTTTCCGGCTTCTCGGGGCTTGCGTCAGGGTGACCCTTTATCGCCTCTCCTGTTTGCGTTATGTACTGAAGGCTTTGAAGTTTTTCTACGGCAAAGGTTGGAAGCGAAGGAGTTAACAGGGGTCCGAGTGAGTTGGCAGTGTCCGGTGGTTTCTCATTTATTCTTTGCGGACGACTCGTATTGGTTTCTGCGAGCGTCGGAGCCAGAATGTGGTGCAGTGGGTGTCACGGATATGTACCTAGGATTGCCATCTTTCTTGCATCGATCAAAAGTGGAAACTTTTCGCTTCGTGGAAGAACAAGTTATGCAGCGTCTTCAAGGGTGGAAACAATGATGTTTATCCTGGGCAGGGAAGGAAGTTTTGCTTAAGGCGGTGGCGAGTGCTTTGCCTGTTCATGTCATGTCCTGTTTTTGCTTACCGGTATCCACTTGTCGGGATTTAGATAGGCACTTGGCTCGGTTCTGGTGGGGAGCTAATGGTCAGGAGAGACGAGTTCACTAGGTGGCCTGGCGAACGTTATGTCTTAAGCAAGAAGATGGGGGGTTGGGGTTTCGTGGTTTTTAGGCTTTCAATCAAGCCCTTTTGGCTAAGATAGGTTGGAGAATTTTACAGGATCCGAACTCCCTGCTGGCCCGTATCTATAAAGGGAAATACTTCCCACGGCCAACCTTCTTGACTGCTCGTGAGGGCTCGCTACCTTCGTGGGGTTGGAGGAGTACTTTGTTTGGCCGTGAGTTGCTTTTGAAGGGCCTCCGTTGGCAAGTGGGTTCGGGTCACTCTATTCCTTTGGCTGGGGAGTCTTGGGTCCCAAGTCTTCACCCGCACTTTCCCGAGGTGGCTCCAAGCGTTATTGGGCAGCAGGAAACGGTGGCGTCGTTGATTTACCATGGGCAGGGCGCTTGGCGGATGGATCGGTTGAATCAGTTGTTTTCTGCAGAAACTGTGGAGGCAATTGTTGCTATCCCTTTATCTTGTGCTTCAATGGAGGATTGGCTGGTGTGACATTTTGGGTCTGATGGTAAGTATTCCGTCAAGTCCGGTTATCATTTAGCGACACAATCTATGCCTCCGAGGCGGCGTTCTTTGAAGGATTCTTGTTCTCTGTTTGATAAAGGTTTATGGCGTAAGATCTGGGGTCTACCCATCCCACCCAAACTTAGGTTTTTTGTCTGGCAAATGCTAAGACGAGTGCTTCCAATGGGGGAGGCACTCCAGGTAAGGGGGATCGGGGATGGGTGGGCGTGTCCGGTTTGCGTAGGGGAGGAGGAAGAAACAGTCGAGCATTTATTTTTCCGGTGTCCGGTGGCGGATACTCTGTGGCGGATAACGGGTTTGCAAGACTGGAAGGATGGGATGCCGACAGGGAGTATAGTGATTTTTTGGCGCCGGTTTTTGGAGAAGCCAGCTGTAGGCCCTACTGAGATTATGCAGATAGCGGCTCTCTTTTGGCGTATTTGGAAGTCGCGTAATGGGGTGGTGTTTGATTTCGTTCAGTACCAGCCTGTTTCTCTTGCTTTTCAATTTTCCTTGAAGGTTTCTGAGTGGATTGACAATCCAAGGGAGAGTGAGCAGCGGATGGTGGTTCCGGCACCTTTAGTGCCTCAGACTAGCCATGTTTCTGGCTCTTTATCTTGTTTTGTTGATGGTGCAGTGAAACAGGGATCGCATGAGGCGGGAGGATGGGTTATTCAGGATGCTTCGGGTGCCTTACTAGCTAGTGCTGCTCGGCGATACCCAGGGATTCAGGATCCAGCTCTGGTGGAATTGTTGGCTTTACGAGATGCAATCCGTTGGTGTTCGGACAGGAGTTGGTTTTCGGTGACTTTTATGGGTGATGCACAAACAGTTTTGCAGAAAGTGAAGGCTGGGGAGGTGCATGATGCTCTTGGTGGAGCTTTGCTTCAAGAGATTCAGGGGTTACGGTCCTCCTTTCAGTATTTTGATTGTGTGTTTGTGGGTCGGATTAGGAACAGGGTTGCCCATCTTGTGGCACGAAAAGCCCTTTCATTGAGGCCACCGTTGTTGGTGGGTTTCGATTTTGTTGCGTGGCTTCGGTCACTTTGATTTGTAAGACTTTTGTATCTCTTATTTCTTGGTAACACGAGTGATCTATATGTTTGTTATATTGACTTATGTTAGTGGAAAAAATAATTGTAAGTTGATTAGTATTTTTAGTTTGATTCTATTTTTTTCTTCATAGTGTATATACATTAAGAACTTTATAACCGTATATGATTTATAATGATTTAATATTCGGAAAATAGAATGAGATAAGTTTGAGATATTGAATGGGAAAATGAAACACAAGAACTTCATAAACATTGATCATTCGAACCATACGAGACCATTTTGTAATCATTTTTCAAATCTTCACAATATGATGGCAAGAAATACTAATATTTTTATTAAATTAGGAATGAAAATCAATTTGCCGAAGTTGCTCCACCCTGCACTGCCACATGCCTAGAGTTGGCTCCCCACTCAATTGCCTCTGCCACCGCCCTTTGTCGCTCTTGTGGATTCGCCACCTCCATTATCGCCTGTCGAAGCTCACCACTATTGTTATTCTGTTCTTGCACTGGAGAATCCAAAAAACCCACCATTTTCACTGAATTCCCCATTTCTGGCACAGCCCCCAAAAAGCTGAGAGCACTCACCACATCGCTCATCAATGGCCGAACCCCAGCTTCCTCTTGAAGACACATAGCCGATACAGCCACCGCTTGATTCAACCCTCTAATCGGGAACTCTCCATTTAAGAGAGGATCTGCAAGTTCCTTGAACCTACTTGGATCCTTAAACACTGGTTGTGCCTATTGGAAAGAAAACCATAATCTCTATGAGTCAATTAAAATGCATTAAATATACAAATTAGCCCCTAATTCTTTTGCAAATGTAGTATCAAATACAAAAGTTTTTCATAAGACTTTTTTTCATGAGACTTTGAAGCTAAATAACATAAGAAAATCCAATTAATTGTTGCATTACCCAAGTGACTAAGTTTTGCTCGTTGGAAGGCCGGTTGGTATCAATTACTCTCCTTCCAGTGATCAACTCCAACAATACGACACCAAAGCTATATACGTCAGATTTTATAGTCAATTGCCCAGTTCTTTGATACTCAGGTGCACAGTATCCGTAAGTTCCCATTACCCTAGACGAGACATGGGTCTTATCTCCTGTGGGTCCAAGCTTGGCGAGCCCAAAATCAGAGAGTTTGGCAGTGAATTCGCTATCAAGGAGGATGTTTGATGATTTCAAGTCTCGATATATCACCGGTGGATTGGCTTTATCATGCAAATACTCCAACCCTTTTGCTGCACCCAATGCTATCTTCATCCTCGTAAACCAATCTAATGGCTTTCTCCCTCGTGGAAGATCTAGAAAAAGATAAAAAAAGAGATTTTAATTCATATGATAGAAACCAATAGATGATCAAGTTCACAATTTAAGCTCTTTTATATTTCCCAATTTTATGAAATGAATTAAAAATCATTAGGATCAAGTTAACAAGGATGGTTGTGCGTATACAAAGATTCCAATTTTTTACCTAGAAGGTGGTCTTCGACAGAACCTTTGGACATATACTCGTAAACGAGGAGCCTCTGGTCTCCATCAGCACAATATCCAATAAGATTTACTAGATTGTGATGATGTAATAGGCTCAACATCAACACTTCAACGAGAAACTCTCTGTTTCCTTGTAGACCATTCCGATCAAGTTGCTTTACAGCTACAATCTAAAGGAGGGGAAGTCATATGTATATATTTAGTCTAGAATTTAAATCCTCTTAAATTTACCAACTCTACATACATTAATTATATTGTAATTCTTACTTGGTTAGTCTTGTCAAGTCGTCCCTTGTAAACTCTACCGAACCCGCCTTCTCCAATCAGACATTCTTGTCTGAAATTCTTGGTGGCGGTGGCGAGTTCTCGAAATGTGAAGGTCTCGGCCGCGATGTTGTTGGGGGAGGATGAAGTTTCTTTGCTGGTCACATTGTGGTTGTCCTTCCTTGTGGTCGATATTGTTGTTTCCTTATGGATAATGTGGTTATTTTTTCCTTGAGATTTCAAATTCTCTGCATAACCTCAAGAACAGATTTGTCAAAAAGCAAAAATGAAATAATAAAAATTCTTTTTTTATGCAAGTATAAAAAATATGATGGAAAAAGGGATTTAGTTTACCAGCATGGAGAGATCGAGGTTGTTGGGCAACTTGATTCTCCCTTATGAGAGGGATGGGAGATGAGTTTCCTGATGTTCTGGCACTATTTGCTCTCCTTGATGCCTTCTTTTCTTGAGATGAAAAGCACGAAAAGCAACTCATGTTCAATCAAGGAGTTCCCTCCCACAACGTTAGATATTTTCAAATGAACTAATCAAATGCTCACTTTTATAATTCTCGTTACTTTTCCCTGCCTTTCCCTTTTCTTTCCACTCGTTGATTTGAAGTATTGATATGGCAAGATTTTTAATGGATAAAGTAAAAAATTATTTCCTGCCTCAAACCTAATAACTACAAACGACAGAAGAAAGGATATGGATAAAGATTGAAGAAAACAAAGACAAAAACCAAACAACAAACAAAGATGAACAGAGGGAAATGATCACAAAACAAAAAACAAAGTGGAACTTCTTTCTCTTTTTTCTTCTCCCTCTTGCTTCAATTTTTTTTAGGTGAAGATGGAACAGAAATTGGATGGAGAAGGCAAATGAGGGGGAGTTTCTGGCAAAGGGAGGGAGGCAGGGGAAGGAAGGAAGTCCAAAAACAATTTCCTGCCTCGCTTAAAGGGAAGTTATGATCATTAGTTACAGAAATAGGCAAATTTTGATTGTGATAGGTGATAAGAATAGAAAAAGGAGAAACAAAAAGGTTTTTGGATGTAATGTGTTTGTAACTTGTTTTCGTCCATTGTTGGTGGCTGCTATTGAAAGACACTTTTTCTCAATGTATGCGAAGTCAAATCATAGTTTTTTGTGTCATTTTTTATTTTCTTTTTATATGGTGCAAACAAGTGAAATATCTTGATAATAGAAAAGCACCGTATAAAAGTAAACCCATAATAAGATGATGGATCTAAACCAATTGACTTGTTTGGATTATATTCATTGGTTGAACAGTAAATGTAAGATAATAATTTGGATAATGTCAAAGAGCCTAAAGTAGATATGAAATTTTGGGAGCACACCATTAACCATATGGAATAGCCAAACCTGAGTTTGCAACTATGCATGGTAACATGTATTGGTGATAATGTCCCTTCGACCCAATATTTTTAAGTATTAAGTGAGAAGCTACTACTATATACTATGTATGTGGCCTTTGATCGATGTTATATTGAGTAATGTTGACAGAGTACTACCTAGACGACTACATGGGGAGAATTCATATGGAAAAATTGATTCCACACTTAGGCACAAATATTTGTTGAACAAAAGTGTGTGACCAACATGCTTAATGAGGATACTACATGGACTATACAGCCAAGGTGTTAGAAGTGCTTTTCATAAATGTCCTAAAATTTCAGGACCCTAAATTTGAGGTTAGTTGAATGACCCATGCATGCTTAGTTACATACTTTCGTTTATGCTGGTTGGCCCTAAAATGGGTGCATAGTAAGGTAGTATTGGGCATCAAATTAAGTGTTCGAGGGATTCAGCTATTGCAACACACGATTTCCCCCTCCTCTTGCAAGGTGGGGGCAATATATCCAGATGCTTTGATGGGCTATTTCATGAAATGAAAAAAAAAAAAAAAAATGCACAAATGATTTGATAAAATCAATATCAATTAAATTCGAGTTTTGATAGGCTACTTTCGATTAAGAAATTTGCTAAATTAAACTACTGCTATCTTCTAAAACATTGGACCTCAAAAGTTTATGGAGTACATGCCATATTCATTGATAACTGCTTCGTTCGAGGTTTAAATTTATAAATTCGAATCACACTCACTAGTCAAACCTAACAAGACCAAGTACAACCAAGCTAGGGATGTAGTAAAGCGGCTCTGTCGTATTCCAAGGGTCACGGTATCCTAGACTACTTAGGCTCGATCATTATCTAGTCAACTTGTTACTTAGCAAGTGGGTAGTTGGCAATTCCTAAACTAAAGATCCATAGATGAGAAGAGGTACTAGAGGTAACTCATTCGCCCTAGCATAGGTCTATCATGCAAACGTCTAAATATGCCAGGTTAAGTGAATGTGGTGAGTGAGCTCTTTTTCATGGGTCTTCGTGATTATCCACACGCCTCAGAGTACACCTCCCTTAAACCCATGTCAGTCACCTCCATCTAGGCTATCGTATCTGGGACTTTAAAAACATAGATCCTTCCAATGGGTACTACCCACTGTCGACATCGAGGTTTCATCCCGGGTTCCATCTTGGAAGGCATTATTATGGTAGGGGTACGGTCGCTTCGTCCGCCACAAGATCATGTTGATTCATCTAACCTAATATGCCAAATGACGCATACTCGTCTAATGCTAAAACTCCATACCTAGTGTAGAAGCTCATGTAGTCTAGTAGAGAAGATTAGGGAGACTTATCCAAGAACAATTAAAGCTAGAGAAGTATTAAAATAAACTAGATAAGCACATTCATACAAAACCCTAACATATTCATTCTTCTACATAATAACCCTAAAACTAGGGTTTGAGGATTTAAACCTCTGGTACCTTGGGAGATCACCTCATAAGGGGGGGGGGGGGGGGGGGGGGGGGGGTGGGGGGGAAAGACATACAAAACGGGGAAGAAATCATGAAGAAAGGGTCTTCAAGTGATGGAACTCCTCCTCTAAAGCTCTCCTCCACTTCCTCTCCTCTAATCTCTCTCTAAAATAAAAAATCTGCCAAAAGCCCTCTTCTAAAGGGGAGGAGTCTGTTGTCAAAAAAAAAAGGGAGGAGTCCCCTATATATAGAATTCTGTAGACACAGACAACTTCACTGGAGAGGGGCTGAAGATCGCGCCCACGATCTAGAGGCTATGATCTTAAAGGCAATTTCGCAAGCAAGGTGCAGGAGATCGCAGCTGGGATCTTTAAGGGTCACCATTTTCGCCTTGCTAAATATGGAGTTCGCGGCCTAACATCCCGGTTGCGATCCGGGGTGTCACGGCCGCGATCCTTATCGTCGGTGTTACACCCTAACCCGTCCGGATACTAGTTTTACCAAAATACCCTTAATAAACCGTGAAATAAAATAAGAACTGAAAATACTTAGAAAAATAGCGGAAAAATTTCATAAATAACTTTAAAAAATACCAAAAACAACTGTCATTACTTAAACACAAAGCCTAACACTTGGGAAAGTTCAAACCTTAAAATCTCAAAATGATCTCCAGTCTATACTCATAATCGTAAACTGAAACAACTAAAAAGTCTCTAATGCTACTGCTTCTTGAAAGCCTTCACCAGACATCCTCCGAGGCGCTTGTGCTACCCTCTTCTAGCTGGTTGCCCTCAATCTCTTCCTCTCGAACTCGCTTCTCTCTAACTCCTCTTAGTCCTTTTCAAACTGGTGAGTGAGGTGGGGTCAGTCTACGCTCTTACGTTTATTACTTTTAATACTTAAGAACTTTGCTTAAAACACTCACTTAAACAGGTGGAAGTTGTTTGTACTTCCGCCTTTAAACTTTAACTCTTAAAACTGTGTTATCTCATTATCTTATTGGGCCCCCTACCTCGACTTAGCTGGCGCCACTACTAGCTTTACTTACTTTCTTACTTCTTAAACATGACTACCCTCACAATGGGGTGCCCCTCAAATGGGTTTGACCACCGCGAAACGAATCACCATCCGTTGTCAAACTACGGCGTGACTACCGTAAAACGTATCACCATCCGGTAGCACACCTAAACCTAGGAAATGGAGACCGCAGAATTCATCACCGTCCGGCTCCAGGCCTGACCAACTACCGCGGAACGTATCACCATCCGGTAGTGATCAACTACCATGGAACTTATCACCGCCCGGTAGGGATCCATCTAGCTAGTGGCTAGCTAAGCGAGGCTAACTTATTCTTACTCATGATTTTCTCTTGCTCTTATCACTTTAACTTAACTCGTCAAACGTAACGTAAAAGCTTTAATTAAGTACTCAAAGCTCATAACATATCCGTCAAACTATGAATCAAAAGAACACACATCATCACCCATAAACATAAGCAAGTACACAATTTCAAATAAAACAACTTTTTAAACACGTAAGGCAAATACTTGAAAAATACGTAAGGCGTAGAATTTACCCCCATGAAAACTCACCTCAAATCCGTGGAAAACGAATCTAAATCCGCTCTAAAAAAATTCCATGAATCGCTTCCACTAAATTCTCCTCGTTCCCACGACTCCATATGCGTCGACAGTTCCTCGATCGGACGTCAATTGATCGAGTTATAACCAAATAAACATTCTATCAGTTTAAAAGTACCAGGTACCGAAACTGTAATTTTTCAGTCAACACAGGTGACCACGAACCTCTGTAAAATTTCCGAAATAATCCACCAACTATTCGAATTGTCCATAATGGTACCTGAACTTGACAGTTTTTCATCCAAACTTTCAATGCTCGTTTCTCCCTCGTCCGAATTCAGAATCCGATTTCGTCAATACGGTGATGATCCTGGGATCGTCCTCTTTGCATTGGTACCCTCCAATCGAAAAACGCTTGGAATTGAGTTTCCTGGTTTTTCTGGCGAGCTACGACGAAGTCACGGTGAAGTTCTAGCGCGACATCTTACTACATCGAAATTAGATTCCGAATCCGTTGAATGGTTCATAACCTTCTCCTGATTAAAACCCCGTGTTCATAATCCTTCCTTTCCTTCTCTTCCTATTCCCTCATTTTCCCCCCTCCTTTTCTTGACGTGGAGTAAATCAGGGAACGACGAGGCGACGATCCGGGGAGGTGGAGTGTGACGCGGCGTGAACGGGCGAGCTTCTACCCTTTTGTCTGTCGCTAGCCTTGCTGCTGGTCGTCTGGTGGCGGTGATGTGAAACTGCTCCTACTCGTCAGGGATGAAGACACCGACGCCGGCTACCGCTTCCGTTTTGCGAAGAGAGACGAGAGCAAGGAGATGGGTCGGGGCTTTTGTGAAATGTTGTTTTTTCTCAGTCTTCCGCCGCTGCTCTCATAATAAAAATTAAGGTGGGATAAAATAAATGGAACGCGTTACGGGGAGGAAAGGGAGAGGGTTACGAGAAGGGTTTATGGTTATGTTATTACTTGATTCCCACCCCTTTAGTTGCTAGTAACGTGTGGGTGATGGGGGAGATAATCATAATAATCTAAAGTTCCACGAGTGCATATGAGATGATGATAATACTAAATATAATAATAATATTATCATTATTATTACTATTAATTCATGGAAGCACCTCTTCCTATGTGATCGTCGATCCAACTGTTCGGTCGAACATAGACCCAAATGTCGAGGTGTAACATTTCCTCCACCCTTATAAAAATTTCGTCCCCGAAATTTGTTCGATACTCATTCCTCTATGGTCCTCATTCTCGTGCTTCCTTGGCTTAAGAATTCACTCTTGATATATGACCCTCAATGATGTCCGTTGCTTGTACGCATTGTGTACCTCACTTCTTATTTTTCCTCTTGGCCACAAAAAATATTCTCCCAAACGCGTTAGCATCGAGTAGCTTTGAGTGGCTACTTGTCCTTTTAATTCCCTCGCTCGGTCCAAGGCATGATGGGACAACATTTCGAATCAGTTTATTGCTACAACTCATCCAGTACTTATCGTTGGACCTTAAATCCAAGTCGAGGTATCACAGTCGGCACGGAAGCCGTGGACAGTGAAATAATGGCTGGAATTTTCTGCTTTTCTGCTTCTCCTGAGTTTGCTTCTTCTGAAGTTCACACCCTTGGCTCCAAAATTCGTGGCCGTAAACTTGAGCCTGCGATCTTTGATGTCATTCATTCTCCACGAAACAAGAAACACATGACTCTTCTTTGG